TTTTTCTTTTCTTTTGGGGGAGGGTACCTGTTCACCTTACTCCTTGATTTTTATAAACTGCAGCTTTGTTTTCACCCATTATTGGATGGGAGGATTCTATCCTGGAGTCAATGTTAAGCTATTTTGATCATTTAGCAAGTCCAGGAGTCAAATCCAGCCTAACACCCATTTTTGTTAATAAAGTTTTATTGGGACAAATAATCACCCTGTTTATGCATAGTCTGTGGCTGTTATATGCTGCGTGTTGGCATTGAATAGTTGTAACAGACAATAAATGTGCCCTGAAACCTAAAATATGTACTGCCCAGCCCTTAGAAGAACTTATTGAATCTTTTTTAAATGACAGATACTGATAGCATATAGTGGAAGACACTGTAGTGAAGAAAGGGCATGGGCATGATGGGTGTGAAAAGTCCAGGCCCTGCTTACCACCTGAAGAACTGTAGGCAAGCCATTGGAGTTCTAGGGAGGTGGTGGTTGTGTTTAAGACAGGGTTTCTCTGTGTAGCCCTGTCTGTCCTAGAACTCAGAGATCTGTCTGCCTCTGCCTCCCAACTGCTGGGATTAAAGGCAAGCACCACAACTGCCTAGCTCTAGGGAGGTTTTAAAGCACCACCCATGAACAAACAGACCTGTGAACTATTATGTGTGCTAAGTATGCTGCCATTCTCCATGGGCATAACTTATCATGGCTGCCTTTTGCTTTCTCAGGAGGAAGAAGCCAAGAAGCTAGTGAGTGAAGCTATTGCAGCTGGCATCTTTAATGACTTGGGATCTGGAAGCAACATTGATCTGTGTGTTATCAGCAAGAGCAAGCTGGACTTTCTTCGTCCATACTCAGTGCCCAACAAGAAAGGGACCAGGTAAGTGAAAGGGATACCATTTTTCCTGTCCGTCACCTTTGGCATCTCCATGCCAGATTGGGCTCTCTGTATGCTTTCCTGTACAGAGAAAAGCCATCTGTTCCGAAGCAGCTTATAGAACAGTCCTTTGAATCAGGGCTACTTTATGACCCCAGTGGTGGTCAGACATGGAGAAGTATCTTAATCTGTCATGTATTGTCAGGCATGGAGAAGTGTCTTAAATCTGTCATGTATTGGTAGGAGAAGTGGAATGGGTCCAAGAGAGAGAGCTTCAGACTGAGTTGAGACACTGAAGTGTGTGTCCCCTGCCCCACCCCCCTGTGGTTTCTTCAGTATCTTAAGCCCTATATGGAATCTTGTGAAATGTTTAGGTTTCATGGTAGCCAGCCCACAGCTTTTCTTCAGGCTGGCCCAACACATCCTAAAAGTTCTAATCCCATGGCTATAAGCCTCTGAATTGTGGCCATGGTATGTACCAGTGCTGTTTATGCTACAGTCATGTCACTGAAACTGTGGCCTACATCCATGGATGCCTTACCTCAGTGGTGCAGACCAGGATCTGAGCTGTGAAGTGATGTTTGTTGTAAGGTCCAAAAGACCTGGTAACTTGTGTTTGCATGCTCACTAATTGACAGTTGCAGCTCCTTGAGACTCTGGGCTCTGGTTAGTAGCACAGGACCTCTGAAAAGCTTGCTTCTATGCCCACTGAGGGTCTCTAGCTCTAGATTCACAAGAAAAGGATGTGTCTTCAGTGCTAATAGTGCTTCGTTGTAGGCTGTTCTCAGCATTATGGAAAATGTCAGACAGCTCTGGGGTGGGTGACAGGGATGGTCACTGGCTGGCATGGTAGCTCTGCGTATCAGTCCTGTATTTGAAATGATGGAGCTATGCTAGTGTGATCCCATTTCCTCAGGCCTTGAGTGAAAAGGGAAGCCTTTCAGATACAGGGCTGGTTGGGAAAGCAGTTTCCATTGAAGGATGCTGATCCTTTGGAAAGAGAACTGGGGAGTGCTTCTGTTCCATGAGGGCTGAATGATAGTCACCCAGGCAGAGAATTCTAAAAGCCATCCTTGAAAAGTGGGTGTGGTTGCAAAAGGAACCTTTGTGCTAACGGTAGCTCTGTGGAGCCAGAGATGTGGTTTTTGTCGTAGAACACTTGTCTAGAATGTGGGAGGCTCTGGGTTCCATTCCTAGCCTTTGGGGTGGAGATGGATCCAACAAAGTGATGGGGCGGGGGGGGGGCTTAGGGGGAGGGCTAAACATAGTTGGTATGCACTAATCTGCCTTGGGGTGGTACCAATATCCACACACTCTAGAACCCCACTGTCCTTTAGACTCGTCAGTGGTTGTGAGAATGCTGCCTAGATGAGGGAAGGAGCAGGTGAGGGCAAAGGCTTGCCAGTTATTCCATGCCTGTCACCATCATGGACCTGGCTGCTGCCCTGCATGCTGCTAAGACCAATAGCCGTACCCAAAAGGTACAAGAGCCCTTGTGTCCACTCCTCTTAAAGACAGGGTAAAGGTCAAATGAGTTAGCCTCTTGGGCCATTGTCTCAAGGCAACACTTAACTGCCAGTGGCCTAGCAAGGTGGGGGCCAAGAGACATTTTTAAACCTTAAGGGAACAAGGACAGATGTGTTTTGAAAAAGTGTACCTTCTCCTAAAGTCCACCTGAGCTGTCATGTACCCACTTTCTGCTCCGTTAGAGCTCAAGGGCCTGTTTGAAGGGATAACATTTTCTAGGAGCATGTGATCATGGCACAGCTTCCATTGGTCGAATATGAGCTTGATGGAACTATCTATCACTCCAGCGGGACATGACAGGAGCAGTTGACTGGTACCACATTTTGGCAGACTCAGGACCAGAGAGTTTGTGGATCAGGGTGAGAACCTTGTACTCAGAGACCTGCCTCCTTTGGGGCATGTCCTAGTGGTAATCGGCTGTGCCCTGCAAGGACAGGTGGCCTTGAATGCTGTCTGAAGTAAGGAACATGGAGCTTGGCTGTGGACTATAGTATATTGCTGGTGCTTCTAGAGGTGTGGGGCAGAAGGCCGTATTGCATCACTCACATTTGATGCACAGGGTCACTTCAAGAAAGTGGAAGCCTCGAGTCACGTGACCAAGTAGCTTCTAGCTCTACTGAGGATGGTGGGGTGTGGAAGGAAAATTGAAAACCAGTGCTTTTTCTATTATCTGTTAAGTATTGTCTGACACATATATATACCTCTTAAAACTGTACCATTTGTAGCATTTGGAAGTGAAGGGAGATTGATTCCCTGAAGCTACAGAGGTAGAGTTCCCAGAGTCAGGACTCCAGTCAAGCATTTTGCTGTCAGGCTAGAATGCCTGTCCTGACCTCAGTTGGGCTCTTGAGCAGAAGTCTAATTGCTTTTATTTTTTCTCATTAGGTTTGGCCGGTACAGATGTGAGAAAGGCACTACCGCTGTCCTCACCGAGAAAGTCACCCCTCTGGAGATTGAGGTGCTAGAAGAGACTGTTCAAACAATGGATACTTCGTGAATGGTGCTGCAGGTGGTTGGATATCTCTCTGGATGACTTGGGGCACACACCACCCCTACCCCCATCCTACTTTACCCCAATCAGAAAACATGTATTCGGTTACTGCTCAATTAAAAAAAGAAAAAAATTTAGTGAGTGGCTGTAATATGGGAACTGTGGGTTTGGGCTCTTACTGATCCAACTTTCCTTTCTATGTTCCAGATCTTTCTGGATTGTTAGTGGTGTGGCCCTTTAAAACTGATTAATTAATTCTTTGTGGCCAGAAACCAGATTTGGTTCTTTGGGTCTTAAGGCCTGTGCTTGTTTGCTTCATCTTCACTTGGGGGTAACCCCAGGCATCTGTCCTAACAGGGTGAATCAATATATGGCAGCCTGTACCTCACATGGAAAAACAGTGGCAAGGGAGTCTCAGGCTGTGATGTGGCCCAGTGGATGGCTTCCCTGCACACACAAGACCCCAAGTTTACATCCTTTGTATTCTCACACACACACCCCTGCTCCCAACACACACACACACACACACACCCCAGACAGATAGCTTCCGTTTGAATTCTCAGTCTACATGCTCAGGTCTGGAAGATGGATGGAAACTTTGCCTTTGCATGGCTGTATGAGACTGGCGAGCTGCACTCCAGCTGTTCTTGTGACAATCGAAGGAGTACTTGATGCTTGCTGTTTTGCAGTAATTGGGACATAGCATTGTATTGCTTCTCTGGATAGTGATTGGTGGAGACTGCACATCCCAAGGGCCATTTTATCGGGCAGATGGTTCTCTTGGTATAGACAGTGGGTAGAGTGCTGAAATTAAGTTCTTTGGTTTACAGAGGCTACTTGTACCAAGGACAGATAGAAAACTTTCAGGAGTTAGTGCTGGACAGGAGACAGCGACTTTGATCCTTCCCCAGAGTGAGTATTCTGGGACAGGACACCGGAAGACAGATTTCCCTTGTGCAAACTGCTTGAAAGGGTAGAGAGAATTTATTGAGGGCAGCAGCTTGCCTGATGAGTGTCAGAATTATTTGGGGGAACTTAAAAATATTCTGGTGTTACTTGGACTGTTTGGGCCTGACGGGTTGTTTCTAAAGGCACCTCAAGAAGTTGTGCTGGTGCTGTGTGCTGGGTGTGGTCTGTAGTCCGAGACAACACTGACGCGGAGTCAGAGCCACCCTGAGCTGCTGACCAGTCACTCTTCCCATTTTGTCTAAACTATGGAGAGCTTGACCAAGCAGAGGCTGAACCTGGGGTGCAGGCCTTGCTCAGAGGGTGGTGGCTAGCCAGAGAGTTTATTTGTGCAGAACCCCTGGGTTCATCTAGCAGTGAGGTAAACATTACCTGACAAGACACAGGAGCACTGGCTTGGCACCAAGTAGGTATTTCTTGAATAGTGCATGGACCAGTGGCTCTCAACCTTCCCAATGCTGCCACCCTTTAATACAGTTCCTCTTGTTGTGGTGACTCCCAGCCATAAAATTATTTTCATTGCTACCTCATAACTGTAATTTTGCTACTGTTACGAATCATAAATTATTTTTGGAGACAGGTTTGTCAAGGAGGTCTCCACACAAATTGAGACCCCCTGGTATAGAAGAACAAAATTCAGACTGTTTCCTCCAACACTTAAGTTTCCTTAAATTCACATTTATAAGTTAGTCTTCACAGTTAATCCTATTGGAAACAAAAAGAAAATGAACATATTTCTGCTTTTCCTGCACATAATACAGTTGTATTTTAATTCTTGACTCGAATGGTCCATGACTTGAGATTTCTGAAGGGATGACAGGCCATGTTTTTTGGATCACCTGCCACGGCTAGCTGATTTGCACCTCTCTGTTGGTTTGGTGTTTGTTTGTTTCTTACGTAGTCCACTCCTGTCTCAAACTTCCTATAGTGCCCAGGGCAACCTTGGATTCTTGAGCCTCCTGCTTCTACCTCTCAAATGCTGGGATTACAAGGTTAGGCTGCCATTGCTAAGTAAGTAACTTCTTTTGTTTTAAATCCTGTCAGCCACCTGGAAGATAGATACCTTATTAGTCCCATTTACAGATGGAGGAAACAAAGACTCAGAAAAGCCAACAAACTTGCGCAAGTCACTAGGAAGATACAGAACCAGAATTTGTAAAGAGCAGTGTGAGAGCAAAGCTTCTGGAGTTTTCTTGCTGGATGGATGAAGTGCCCCGCACTGATCCTAAAGTGAGCCATAGCATTCCAGCAGGAGATGATAGTATGTGGCAGGGCTAAGAAGATGGAGGAGAGCCCTCCTACCTCCCAGATGCCTCTTACGTCGAAATGCCCAATGCTAGGTGCTCCTCACTGTCACTCATCAAATTAGAAAATGCAGAGAAAAATACTAGCGAAATCTCTACTCTAAACCATTATTTCCATTGTATCTCTTTACAAGAGAGTAAATGAAGCACACAGTCTGATTGTATGGAAAGGTACTAAGAACTAAACCAACTGGTGGTAACCATTTGCAAAGGCTCGCCCACACCAGTCACCCAGCTCCCTTCAAGTCTCCTGACAGTGTGGGCCTGGCCAGGTCTGAAGCAACCAGGCAGAGGTTCACATTTCAGTAGGTACAAGGGGTTTCCATGACTGCCAAGCCCCTTCTCCCACTAATAGCCCAGCTCAGATCGTCTGCAACAGTTCAAAGAAAGGACTTTGGAGTTTGACCATAACCCCGCTGCTTTCAGCTCAGTGGCAGAGGCAGCTGCTTTGGGAGCCAGCTGAAAGTCCTCTGGTCTTGGCTGTGGGGGCTTCCAGGTTCCACTTGGGGAGAGGACTCAAGTAAGACAAGTGACTTTTGGCTTTGATGAGGTGTGTTGCATTCAGGTGCTGGATGTCCAGACATGCATCTGTCTAGCCACCTGGTGCACATATCCAATGTCAGGTCGGTGATCAGGGTCGGGGTAGATACACATACTGACCAGTTCCCGAAGCTGCAAGGAAAGACAATTCTGTTAGTCTCAGAGTGCACCTCAGATGGTGCTGTTGTCCCCTTTCAAGTGAACAATGCCTTTCGGGGTAAGTCACATGGCCACACAGATCCCATGCATGCATAGGCCTGCCTGGTTCCAGAGGTGATGCTTTCAGACCCTGAGAATTTTACCCTCAAATAATCTTCAGTTTTCAACTGTGTACATGTATGTCCACTGTCAGTCACACAAAAGCCCAAACCAGAGAAAACTCAAGAAAAGGGCTTATTGATCATAATAAATGCATTAACATGCAGGAAAGCTGCAGTCTGCACACCCCCTGGCCTCTTCATTGTGCTCATGAAAGACACGCTTTTAATTATCCAGACACTGAAGGCTTTGCCCACCAGGGTGGGGGAGGGGCGCCTTAAGCCTCTGATCCCTTCCGTTCTGATAGCCAGAGTGCTAGTTATTTTAATGGTAATTAAAATAATGACCTTAAAAAGCCCGGGTCTTAAACGTGCAACCCTGGGCTGGCTGCAACATTTTCTATCTCAGTGCCTGCTGCTGGGGGTGCTGGTGATCACCAGCAAAAGGAGAAAGAGGAGAAGTCCTGGACCACAGCGTTCTGGGGACTCAGGCATGTTCCAGAGGTCCTGGGGCTGCAGCATCCACCTCAGGCTAGGGGGTCAGTTCTGAACTTCCAAAGCACTGAGCTGCCTTAACTGGCCCATTTTTGTGATCCCACTGCTGTGTAAAACACTGGGAATCCATGAGCTGATGAAGGTGGTGTGCAGCATGTCTGGAGGCCACGATCATCTACAGACTGGTTTCTGAAGCTGTTCTGGAAGGGAACCATGGCTGACCCATCAGGTGAAAATTCGAAAACCAGGTCAAGATGAAGTCTACCCTGTAATCACTTAGAAACAGTCAAAAAGAGAAACAAAAAGTAACAAAATAATGCAGCATGATAATAATTTTAAGAGGAGGGTATGTTTAGGGACTGACCCTGTGCTAAGGATCTGGAGCTGCTGCCTGCTGGGGGTGTGTCTAGTGAGCTAGAATGGTTACCCTAGGAGATAAAGCTAAGGGCTCTGGGCTCTTCATTTCTGCCTTGCAACTCAAGTGGGGTGGATGGTACCCACTGGCAGACTGGCACAGGAGCACAGAACCGATTAGAGAGCCAGGTCACATGTCTTCTAGCAGTGCAGAAATTGTAGTTTAAACAAGGAAAGGAACAAGCCAATGGGCAGCAAACTTTGTGAAGAATGTAACCTATTCTTTCCTGCCAGCTTGCTCTCCAGACCACAGATACTTTCCCACTGGAGCTGATGGTGGAAGAGAAGGGTGATGTACAATTCTCTTTACTCTGTGACCTCCCCACCTCAGGTGGCAGTCTGCACAGGTGAGGCCAGTGGGCCTGGAGGCTGGCTTAGAGCCTGCATGGTCCTGCCTAGGCTTTGCCCCCATACACTGGTGCTTCTTGTAAAGCCTCATCTCATCTGGATGCTGGACTTTCCTTGGTACAGTTGTCCTCAACCTTCCTAATGCTATAACCCTTTAATACAGAGTTCCTTATGTGGTGACTCCCAACCATTGCTCCTTCATAATTATAATTTTGCTACTGTTATGAACTATAAATATCTGATGTGCAGAATATCTGATATGCCATCCCTGTGAAATGGTCATTTGACACCCCCCCAGGAGTTGAGACCCCCAGGCTGAGAGGCAGTGCCTTAGAGAGTTACAAGGCAGTGGCCTAGGGTCCTGCATAGGACCCTGGAAGCCCTTAGACTCTCACCTTTAGCATCCACTGTCAACAGACGTCACAGATGATGTTCAGCAAACATTTACATGGAGCTGTGTTCCCTCCAGTTACTACTTTTGATGGTGGTTGATGCTGGCCTGGCTCTACCAAGCATGCCACATGCATTAATCCTTTATCTTGAACTTGGACAGGAGATTCTAGTTTTGTCCCCATGTTATAGATGAGGAAACCCAGACTCAATAATAGTGAAGGAAGTATATTGGTATGTGTGCCTGTACCCTGAGCCATGACTGTGCCATGAGACCTGTCAGCTGTCCTTCATAGGTTATTCATGAGGGAGATACAATTTAACCCATCTATTAAAATGATGGGTTTGAGGATGAGCATCACACAGCCAGTAACTGTCCAGGATAAAATATGAAAGTCAAAACTCCAGAGTTATGGGCCTATTAACACAGAGCAGGAGACCACCAATGAGTCCAGGGTGGCCCTCTAACCTGCCTGGTACTCGGTTCCACTAGCCTGGCACTAGGTCTTAGGGCATCTGTGTGCTGCTGCATCCTGGAAGCTTCAGGCCCTGGAGAGCCACCCTCCTGGAAGTCCACCAGGATGGCCCGCAGCTCACCTTCTCAGAGTAGTGCTCCCCCGGGAGAGGCGGGTAGTCACACTGTTCAATCTTCTGACAGAGGGAGAAGAGGTTCATCTTATCTCCATAGAAGGGGCTCTGGAGAGCTGCCATCTGCAAGAGAAGGAATATAAAGGCTCAAATACAGCCTCAAAGTCTAAAAGGATTTCAGAAGCCAAAGTAGCCACTGGTTGGTCCTCCACTATGGGGAGGTTGGGGTTGCAATAAGGAAGTGCTGTAGAATCCTGAGGCTCATTCAGAGCCCCTTCTCCCAAGGACTGGCTGCTCACCAGACTCTGCTTAGGCCTGACAGTTTCTCTAAAAGATGTCTCTCTCTCTCTCTCTTTTTCTTTTCTTTTTTTCCCTTCTGTATTTGTTCGTGTGTGTGTGTGGTTCAGGGGACAGCTAGCCTCTGGCATTATTCCTCAGAAGCACTGTCCTTTGAGATAGGGTCTCTCTCATTGACATGAAACTTGTCAAGTAGGTCGGCTAAGCTGGCTGGCTGGTGAACCTCGGGGTCAGCCTTCCTCCACCTCCCCAGTACACATTTGCACCACATGGCCTTTTCAGGATTCTGGGAAGTCTAACTCAATTCCTTATGAACACAAGGCACACACTTTCCAGCTGAGTTCTTCCAGCCTATCTTTACCTCTTTGAGGCTCTTTGTATCCTAGGCTATCCTGTAACTAATAATGTAGCTCAAGCGGGCTTGAATTTCTGGTAATCTTCTTGCCACAGACTCTTGAGTGCTTGGATTATAGGCAAGTGCTACCATACCTGGCTCTGACCAACTTACCTAAAGAACAGTGGGAACACCATTCTCGGGAGCTTGTCTGCCTGAATGCTGAAGCTTCAGGGTAAAGAGAAGCTGGGCCCTACACTTGGCTGTCCTACACTGGAGGCTCTAGCCTGCAGGGTGTGGCAAGTTCAGACACCACCCTGAGCACCTTGGAGAGAGGCAGGGCACTGGTGACAGGTCTGTTGGGACAGTGGTCCTACTATGTTTTCATCCAGGGAGGTAACTTCCAGGTCTCCCTGAAGTACCCAGATCCCCCACCCAGTGTTCAAAGGATTTGGGAAAAGCCTCAGAGAAGGTCTGCAGGAGGATGGACAGCCCAACATGGCACCAGAGGGCCCCATCTGCTGGTAGTAGTGGCATTCCAGTGTTTGCTGTGACTCCTGCCCACTGATGCATTCTGCCAAATGACAGCCAATCCTTCCTGCTAGTGAAGGGCCATTGGGTAATTGTGCCTGCCCCCCGGTCTGGGTGTTTGGTTCTCCCTTCTGATGTGCCAGGCTGCACCCTACTTCATAATTAGGCTGCAATCACCTATATAAGACAGGGTGTGGCAAGTGTACAGAGGCCCCACCCACAATGAGGAGCTGGGTTTGCCATGGAGCCTACAAAATGGCATGACATGGGTGATGTGCTTCCAAAATATGAACACAATTGGTGCCAGCAATTACTGGACAACTTCAAAAGGACATTTGCTATCATAGTAGGGAACAGCTATGGCTCCTAGGTGGCCCTCAAGCACAACTGTAGGATCCAGATGAGTATTCTGGAGGTGGCTTGTGGATAGACAGGGTGTTGAATGTCAGTCCTCGAAGGCTGGCTCTGCTGATGGCTATGTGTGACCTGGGAGAGGGACTGACTGCCCCTTTAGCAGGCCAGTCTGTTTGGATTTTCACAAATGTGGCCCTTTGCAACTAACTCCAAATGGCTCAGAAAAATGTAGCAAGGGGTGAGCCATCATCTCCTTTCTCTCCAGTACCTTCCCCTCATCCCAGAGAGCTTCTGTGCACAGAGCTAGCAGTGAGCCTTCCCTGCTACCAGGGCTTCTTCATCCTAAGCTGCAGGTTCTATCAGAAGCCATGTCCAAACTACTCACTGTCCAGCTGCTGGCCATGGGCCTGCCACCCTGATAAGGACAGCACACTGTGAAGTAACTTGAGGGCCTGCTGGCGACACGGGGATTATAACGATTACCCAGGATGGGAAGATCTACTCAGACCGGTGGCCAGCCAGCCCTGGGCAGGTTGGAGCAAAGGGCTTGCTGTTGGGGGGCAGATACTTGCTACCTCCAGACCACCAGAGTCATGGCTCTCGTCCTACATTTAATGAGCATGTGTCTGTGTCTCAAAGAACCCAAGGTGTGGAGGGAGGAAACCTGACTAAAGAAAAGAACCCCAAATACCTCTTTTGTCTGTCGCCCAGCTTCTCCCAAGCACAGCCTGGAGTGAAGGATGATCAGGAGAGGATCACCCAGTTCTCTGAGGGAGGACCTTTCTGGGCCATGCTACCATTTAAGCCAGAATTCCAAAGCAGCTTTCCCCAGCCCGCTGTCTTACTGGGTCTCTATCCCCACTGCAAGGAGCTGGCACCAAGTGAGCCTTCAGCTTCATTGCCACTCCATTTCCTCCACAGGAAAAGTGCACAGGGGCTTCAACCAGTTCTCAGGGTTCAAAAAAGGATGCCAAGGGGATTGTTTCTCATCTTGTACACTTTGCACCCCAGGTCATGTTGGCATGGCTTATGTTCCAGGGGGTCCACATGAATCCTCAATGGTCTAAGTCAAGCAGGAAGCAGGAAGTGCTGTGTGTGTGTGTGTGTGTGTGTGTGAAAGAGAAAGAGAGAGAGAGAGATTGAGAGAGACTGAGAGAGACTGAGAGAGACTGAGAGAGAGAGAGAGAGAGAGAGAGAGAGAGAGAGAGAGAGAGAGAGAGAGAGAGAGAGAAGGAGAAGGAGTGTGGAAGAGA